AACATCCCAGGAACAAGAACGAATGACACGAGAGCGTTTAGGGCTCGAAAATGCTCTTCATGACATTCAAACCCAGCTGGAACAAGCAAAACAGATAACGGTTTGTGTAACCCCCATCAGCTCGTCATTTTTGCTTGTCTGTCTGTCTGTCTGCATGTAGTAACAGAGTCTCCATCTTAGTTGATATATTCATACTGCATGTTGAAATTTGTATCAGTTTTCTTTTTTAAATGTCATTTGTATAAGATTGCTTGATACATTTTCCTAAAATTGGTATTCTGCATGTTAAATTCTATCGAAGTTCTTTTTATCCCCCCCCCCCCGCTTGAAAAGCGGGAGGGTATATATACTTGTCAAAATTTCTAAGTCCCCACTTTTATTATTTGAAGTATTCAAAAAAACTTAAAATCAATTAACAAGTTGCTTACAATTTAACCTTTATTTTTCAATGCCTACCTGTTACGGCCAAAAAATTTGTAATCGAATATGTAATTACTCGACCGTGACCGATTTTGTTAAAAAGCATGAAGTGCGAGTTTCATATGTTTTCGGGTGTATCTAAGATTTATTTAAATTTCCATGTGTTCTACATCTTTAGTTCTTCACGAAAAACAGAAAAAACCTGGAATAAAATGCCGTGTATGTCCGTACAACAATGTGCAGGTGAAGTTGACAAGGCGAAAGCTAGTGATAGTAGAGAAGAGTTCTATTTTCTTCCCCCGTATTTGTTTATTTTACTTAGAACCTTTAAAAATATCGTCAGAAAGCTGAACAAAGCCTACTTGAATTCTTTACAATCATTAAAATCGCTAAATTTTCAACAAATACCACTAAACAGTCCTCGTGTTTATCCGGAAATTCACTGAAACCGGAACCGGAAGTGCCCATGGTCAAGGCGTATACATGAACTGCAACGACACATCAACAGGGCTACTGCATACGAATTACTCAATATTGTGGAAAGAACCTAACCGCGCGTGAAATTGCTCTGCACTTATTAAAAATTAATTGAGGTCTCCTTAATTATCAAAATTATGAGAAACAAACTGGAAGAGTTGGGAATGTGTGTAAGGAGGCCTGATGTACTATAGGCTTCAAATTGTCGGGTATAAACAATTTCGGTAAGCTTCAATGTCATCCACATATCAACTCTATAGATCATGAATGGGACAAGATGGACCGGAAAGTGAGAGTTTTTCCAGCAGCAGAATCTAGCGTAACTATAGAGGACGACCTCGCAATACATGGAATAACCTCCATAAAGATTTTTTCTTGGATAGTATGAGCTGTTTGATAAGCAGTTGTCTTGCTCTTAATTCGTTTTAAAGAATGATAAATGCAGTATTGAACGTTGCGAATTTTGAATTCTAGGGTGCCTTTACGTTTCTGCATTTTGTGTTAAAGCCTATAAATGAAATTAGATTCAGTGAAAAATAATTGCATTGCTTCTTTTTATCCTGTATACTTATTAATTTATATTGTCTAAATGATTTAATATAAAAGCCGTGTGAAGCAAAAACTTACCTGGGGACTTAGAAATTTTGATTAGTATAGTAATCGTTATTTCCGTCCGTCCGTCTGTTACGCTTTGGGGTATCCATCTCTTATCCGCAACTCCTCTCATACCACTGAATGAATTTGATGAAACTTTCACAAAATCTTTGTCACATATTGCTATTGTGTACCTTTTATTTTACTTTTTGATCTGATACATATTTTGGGTTTCTCGGCCACAGCAAAACATGGACTTTGCAATTATAACTATATGGAGGCGGGGGGGGGGTATCATTTAAAAGATTTTGACCTTTTGTTAACTGGTCAATCGATTGCTTTAATAATTTTCAATTAATTGACCTAATTAATGTTAACGTTAACATTTGATAACATTAACAGACTAGTTAATTAATTCCATTGATTTTTCTTTAATTTAACATAAATATATTTGATAACATTAATAGACTAGTTAATTAATTCCATTGATTTTTCATTAATCTAACATAAATATTTCAAACATTTTTCACTACTGCATATCCTTTCAGTTTTTCAGTTTTAAATTAAAACCTGGAGAATGCTAAACAAATGATAATTCATTATAATTCAATGTTTGTTTTTTTAATAGCTATTATTAATTAACTTATAGTTTCACCAATATTTTGAGGGCAAACTATGTCTGTTTTTTAAATTTTATGCTTGTTTTTCAATTATACTTTTTCTAAAAGAACACTGTGTTACAAACACTTGATTTACAAGGAGATTGGATAAAGTAATGTACACGAGTCATAAATCATGATTTTACAAGCTTTGGTTAAAAAATTTCATTTGCCATATTCAGCCATTCACATATCACAATGCGCAGTCATGCATAACTTTATGACATGAGTTACTTTAAATCATGATAACGATAATCATGATTTATTTTACATTGTTAATAAATCAATCATGAAAATAGCTTGTTTTAACCTCTCTTGATATTTTAGGAGATGAAACAGATGCCATATTTCCATATGTCTTAATTTAATTCAAATTTTACCTTTTTTTTATCCAGAAGGAAATAATTTCATAAAGTTATACCAGCAGGGGAAATATGATAATTTAAGTCCTCTCCCTCAATCTGTATGTGTTGCTTTTAATTCTGGTCAGTTATTTATAGTACAGTGCTGATGATCTTCAGACTTTACAGGGGCTGACAAATAGATTTTTAAGCCACTTGTCCAAGGGCAAGTATATCGTCAAAATTGACTTGCCCTACCTGAATTTTTGCTTGCCCTACCATAAACTAATTTTGTATTCATAGATATTTTTTTCCAAAAAAGAGAAAGAAAAATACAAGCCCCTATGCCGAGCTTTAAATTTATGGCCTACAAATAAATTCTATTTTTGATAAGTCACTTGCCCACGGGCAAGAGGTTGATAAAATTTCACTTGCCCACCCCTAAAATTCACTAGCCCCGGGCGTCGGGCAATGGGATTTGTCATCCCCTGCTTTATAAATAGATAAATCAGGATACATGTGTAAGTTACTTTTGAATACAACATATTGTTGAAAAAGAATACTTGATATTATGAATTCATAGACAGTTTTTCTTTTTTCATTCAGGGTAGGCAGACATCTTAAAGTCCCTTATCCTGCCTCTGATAAAAATCGTGAAATTTCATTGGCCGAGAGCAATACTGCATGAAACAATGTTATGTTGTCTACCCACCTCAGATTGCTAATGTGCCCCCTCCACGTGACCTACCCACCATATATTAAAAATTTACCAACCACACATCATCAATATACTGCTTTCACGTGACCCACTCGGAGCTTCATATCTGACGTCACAATGCGTCTGACGACAACGTACAATGGATGTAGAACGTCTTGCTTGGACGTTCAGTGAAAGCGGTTTATTGATACTATCAATATCTAATCTTTTAGTGAATCATCGGCAGGATAAATTCGTTATGTAGACACTTAGAGGGGTAATACGGAAATATGTGGGGTCCCTGAAAAAATGCATATTGGGCTCGGCTTACGCCTCGCCCAATATGGATTTTTTCAAGGACCCCTACATATTTCCGTATTACCCCTCTAAGTGTCTACATAACTAATAATATTAAGTAAATAGTAAAAGTGAGTAAAACGTGGTGCAACCCTAACAAAAAAAATACTATAGTTAACTATAGTTATAACTTTGACACTTTGAAAACTTTGATTTACTACAGTGATGACTTTGACACTTTGAAAAACTTTATCGAAAACTTTGACACTTAGAAAAATTTTCTCGAAAAATTGAACACATTGAAAACTTTGATACTTTGAAAAACTTTGGCAAAACTTTTGACACTTTGGAAAACTTTGACACTTTAAAAATTTTGGGCGAAAATTTTAATACTTTCAAAAACCTTGGCGAAAACTTTGACACTTTGGAAAACTTTGGCGAAAACTTTGACACTTTGACAAACTTTGGCGAAAATTTTGATACTTTGAAAAACTTTATCGAAAACTTTGACACTTTGAAAAACTATGGTTAACTATAGTTATAAAGTTGCTTAAATTATCATTTACTATCGAAAAAACGACAGGTCCCTTTTTTTAGAGTATCGAATTTTACTTCTCGCATAAAAAACGTACTAGATGCACAGTTCGTGTTTTATTTTCTAAAATTTAAAAATAATACATTTTTGAATACAGGTGATGCATTTGTCTAACTTCAATTTATATTTTATGCAGCCAACATTTTCTTGAGGAATTGATTAAGTTTAAAATGGTATCGTTTTTGTTTGATTTTTATCCGTCATCCGACTTTAAGTTTTCAAAATATTCGCGACTATCGTCTCCATCAGACGCACACCCACAGCGAAGCGGTTTGATGATCAAGACTCATTTCCATTGTTTACTTTTTATATCTCCCAGGCGACAATATTGATGGTTACATCAATGTTTTCTTGTTTTTAAATAGATACATTTATCAAAGTAAACACTTAGAAATTTTATTAAGTGTACACCTATGCAAACTATCCTCGAGAATTTACAGTTTCTATTTCACGGTGAAATTGGGAAGTTTTTCTAGACATGAGCAAAAATGTGATCACAAAATGAAATAATTTGTTAACGTACGTGTAGATTTTGTGTTGTTGTAAACTTGTAGTTGAATGTATTATTCTAAATTATTGTACGTCGAAAAAATGTCATCTATATGTGAAGTAAATTGTATAATTTAATAAAATTGCACGTCATGCATTGCATTAATTTCAATAATTTGAGAAGTCTCATCTTGCAGAATGACAGTCTTTTATTGTCCTTCTAAATGTATAGTAAAAGAAAATTTGGATAATCGTGTACGCCGTCTGCCTTTGCATCGTCATCACTATAGTTTGATGAGCAGAAAAAAGAAATAAATACATAATTAGAAGGATATCAAATGTTGGGAATCAAACAAAACTTTCAAAAATCTTTTGTCAAAAGTTATTACAGATAATCATTTCCTTTAAAAAATGAAAATAAGGGAAAATACCAGGTTTATTCCATTTCCAGTTGGTTTCTGCATTCTGCAAGCTCTCGCTCCAGTGCCAACTTTTGATCCAAAGCAGTCTGTAGCTCGAATAAAATAGCTTCCATCTGAGCTCTAAGCCTAGAGATTTCTTCTTCAAGTAGAGGACATGTAGTCTCATCTGTGCTCCTAGATTCAATTGTCCCAAATTCAAGCTGGGTATCTTGTTATAGTTTTTAACAAGGCATTCTGTATAAAGCATTATTGATAAAATCTTTTTTTTATAATGGAATATTACAAACCTAAGCAAAATGTCCCAATACAGTGGTTCAGCACGTTGAAGACGCTCCTTTTCGTTCTTCACAGTGGCTTCCTGGGCTTCTGTGTGGTAAATTTGAATCTGCAAAAGGATCATTATTTTAAATAGACATAGGAAAAAACAAAGTCTTTTTTCTAGAACAATTAAACTGTAATTGCTTTTTTATAATCAAAGTCTTCAATCTCCAGGAAAGTGAATCTACTGATTCTTATTATTATTCATAATTATAATTTACAGCTTTGTGTATTCCGAATATGCAAGTCGGCCTTTGATGATCTGTTAGTGGCCCGATTTAGCAAATCATGTGGTCCTAAAACAAATTACTATACATTTATTGATTAATCAGAGGATTGCAATGGAAAGAAAAAAAGGCGTACAAGACGAGGACAATCTCCCGCTCAGAGACAATATATTATACTACAAGTTTATCTTTTGAAAAAGATAGGTGAGCTAGCGCCGTAGCCATTTTTAAACACGGAAAGGAAGGTTCGTGATCAGCTGGTTTAATTAGCCGAATTCTTTAATGTTTAACGAGGCTGGAGTTAGATAATTAAAGTTATATTTTTTTGTGAAGTGTATTTTAAAGAATTAATATTATATTCTAATGCATTTTTTTTGTAAAACACTCTTTGATTGGCTGATACACTGATGTTTGAAGCAGTAAAACGAGCATTAACGAGCGTGAAAGCTTTTTCATTGTGACGACATAATAGAGCGACGCAAAAATACAATGCTCCGTGACGTATTTCATGTAACAAAATTCAACAAAATAAGACGTAAACAACAGACAAAAAGTATGAATTGCATTAGAATGGGAATAACTTAACTTCTAATTTGGTATTTGCGACCGTTAATGCTGATTTAACGGTCGCAAATACCAAATTAGAAGATAGTTATTCCCTAAGTAGAGTGTAACTGCTTTGTATCAATCGATTATCATGACTTGCCTACAAAAAATTGAAAAAAGAAGTTTTTTATGAGGTTGACAGTATTATTCAGGAAGGTGTTATAACTCGCAAACTAGATGTCTAAAATCTTGGCATTGTATGACCTAAGTTTTTTTTGTGTGAAGTTAACTTTAAAATGTTAGCTACACAATGAATAAACAAACTTCAGAATCAAGAAAATGTCAGTGTTATTCAATTTACACAACGAAATTGTTATCGTACAGTCAAGTACTTTTCACAGATTGCTAGACTACATCTTCGCTAACCAAGGGTTTTCGGTCCAACCGCTGGTGCAGACCGAAAACCCTTGGCTAGCGAAGTCGGCTAGACTGTGAAGTTTTCCCATAATGTCCTACCGTGAAGCCGAGCATGCGCATTCCAGAAAATGGACTAACGTAATGTTGTTGTTAGCGTCCAAATTTTGTTCTCAGTATTCAGTAATGTCCTTGCTTTGTACGCCCTCTTTCTTTCAAGGATTATATCGGTAATGATACTAAATGTATGTATGTTAATTCATCTGAAGAGAGAAAAATACTTCCGATTTCAAGTATAAAGAAAATTATAGCTGCAGATCTGTAGCTCTCCGAAAAAATATATTGATAGACCGGAGAGCTACAGTGCCATCCAGTGAAAAAAATGTATATGCATTGCGCACAAAATAGTGCGCTCGGTTCTTGATTAAATCTTCCAAATTCTTACCTCAATTGCAAAAAAGGAAAGATTTCAAAAAAATCCTTTATCCTCAATCAAGTACTCTCGTGGTTGACATTTGAACGAAGCATATTGGACCGAATTATCTTTGAAACCAAAATGGCAGTATAAATAAACGAAATTACAATATCAGGGTCAATCTCTCACCAGAGGGCGCGCTCCGCTTACACCTCTGTTGTGGTCGAAAAGTAGTTCAGATTGCCAAATTAGTAAATGTCAACATTATTGTATAAACATTGATTGTTTTGTATATTTTGTCAATGATTTTACTTTTTTTATGCTCTCTGGTAGTAATTATTTTCTAACTCTGTCTCCTTGGTTTCAAAATGAAAATGTGAGTAAAAATTACAAAAAAATAGTGCCGTATATATTGAAACTATTTTGATATATATCCAAATTTTGAAAGAACAAAAGAAGTGCTAAAGATTTATGTTCTAATTTCATTTTAAAAAATTACCAACTTGGTGGGAAACTATAATTTATTTTCGTTTTACAAGATTCTTGTAATTTAGACGATAACAGAGGTGTTGGAGCGGAGCGTAAAAACGCCCTCTGGTGATAGATTGTATCAGGGTCAGAAGGACTATTAACAACAGTTATGAGGAATGTTTGGTTGTGGAAACAGCGAAAGAATATGTTAAGAACACACGGTTAGTAATATTTTGAGATTACAGTTTTAAAGACATGAAGAAACAAATCAAGAACCGAGCGCACTTTTTTGTGCGCAATAAACATAGTTTTTTCAATGGGTGGCACTGTAGAGCTCCGGTCTATCAATATATTTTTTTCGGAGAGCGGAGAGCTACAGATCTGCAGCTAAGGAAATTAATGCATTGTAATTAAAAATAACTTACAATAAGAAAGATGAATACAAACAGAGCTGCTCGCTTCACTAATTGTAGCTAAAATAGAAAGAAAAATACACATCAATCTTTTGAACCAGTTGAAGAGTTAATAGATATAAAGTATTAATTAAATGCTGTTATAGGAGTCACAATCGTTTTCACAATATATAGTGCATTATGTCTTTTAGAAAATCCAACATAATTATGTTAAAATAACAAAAGCGCCATGCAACGAAGCATAAGTTGCTCTTCCTTTGATTAGTAAAATGATCCGTTATTTTGACATTGGTATTTATCAAAATACAACGATAATTTTTTAGAATTTTCTTTCTTGTGTTCACGAAATATGATGTCATGAAAACGAGATATTATGTCCTTGAAACGACATATTATCTCGTGAAACCGTCGTTTTTGATATATTATGTCGTTTTGCACGGGTTAATAATTAATTTCATATTTTATTTTCCTATTCTCCCATATATAAGTTCACCTTTCCCTATTTACCAAGTATAATACAGACTACTAAAGTATACTAATTAAGCCTGAAATTCAAATGTGTGTAAAACGGGAACAAACCGTCAACAACACTGAAATGCAAAGTTACGGTCCAACGCACGAGAAACCTATTATTATTCTGAAAAAGAACTTGTCTGATAACTTAGCTAGCTGCTAATTTATTTGAGATAATTAGGATTATGAAGTACATTGGCCATAACTTCTGAACGGTTATGTCTAGGGCTTCCATATTTTACATATGTATTCTATGAGGCAAGGCCTTTCATTGGATACCAATTACCTTGACCTTGGAGATTTTTGTACTTATGAAAAAAACTTTTATCTTGGGCATTACTTTTGAATGCGAAGGGCTAGTGACGATGGCCGACAGCGGCCGCCACTTTTGAATAAGAATATTGTCATATTGTACAGAGTTATTGTCAATTTTTGTTGACAACTTACAACTCAACTAGTAATGCATTGTGTACATGTACAATTCGTACACTGACAAAGCTCACAAGCGAAAAACATTAAAATTCTTTCGTGAAACATGAAATAAAACAGGTGACTTGAAAGAGATGGTTTTATTAGTCCTGCGATAATATAGCGAATGAAGTGAATTTTACACTTGATTAGTCTGAAGGCTAGATTTTGTTCACGTCCAAGAAATGTGATTGCAAATTGGCAAGACCAATCAGCCACGCAATTCTAAATTTATAGGGCCCGACACAATGCTGTCATTTTTCTTATTTCTCTTTCATTTTGACATCGTTTTGAATAAGTTATTGCTTATTGACATTATAATTGACATTTAAACAGAAAACTGAAAAAAATATTGGAATATCCTTACAAATGATGAAGACTGTAAAAAAAAAGTCATGTGTCTTACAAACGCAATAAAAACCTGGGTGATATTATCACCTCCTCAACAATCAAATAATTTATTTTATTATTATGTGTAGATGCATAAATGCATGAAGCAAATGAACTCCTGATGTGGCTATTTGCAGCAATATGAAGAAAATTATTTCTTCATCATAAATCAATTTATAAAAATATACCTCGTTTCACACCGCCGAAACACCTGTTTGAAATTTCATATCACATGAAAGAATTTTAATGTTTTTGCTGGTGGAAATTGTCAGTGTAAGAATTGTACATGTACACAATGCATTACTAGTTGAGTTGTAATTTGTCAACAAAAATTGACAAAAACTCTGTACAATATGACAATATCTAATTCAAAAGTGGCGGCTGCTGTCGGCCATCGTAGGTTTGACCTACATGTACTTTTAAAAAGCAAACCTTGTCCATAACTTTTAACAGGTGAGGGCTAGAGCTTTCATACTGAACATATTTAATCCTCGTGACAAGACTTTCATTTTATATCAAGAACTTTGACCCTTTGACCTTGACCTTAGAGGTTGACTTACTTTAAAAAAAATAACCTTGTCCATAACGTTTGCACAGTTAGGACTAGGGCTTCCATACTTCATTTATAAATTCTTTTTAGCAAGACCTTTCATTGGATTCCAATAACTTTGAACTTGACCTTGAAGATTTATGTACTTATGGAAAAACTTTAATCTTGGCCAAATTTGATATTTCACAATTGTATTTCCAGTGAGAATACCCTATTTTTGCTACTTATATATTAAATTTGCATTTGATTTAGGAAAAGTTTAATATTCACTATGTTGCCATACGGGGGCATCAGTGTTTCACAAACACATCTTGTTTCTTATGGGGAACGCAGAGTGCACTGTAGAACTCACTAATTAGTATTGGAAAGATACATCTTTGATGAAAATATTAAGTTTGTTTTAGTCTGCACTCAATATTTTCTGGAAGAAAAAATGCATGAAATAGGTAGTTTTATACCAAATATGCTAAAATTGCAGAAAAACGTGAATTTTGTAATGTCATATTTCTAAATTAATGGCATTTTGATCAAATTGAAAATGATCAATAAAGGTCACATGTATTGCTGTACAAATTAAAGCTACATTATACAAAGTAAAATAAAGAAATTCATTTTAAGGGGCCATTTGAGACACTAATCATATATTGCTCTTTAAATTTCTTACGGCTTATTCAGAAATAAACAGGTCATTTAATTACATATTTATAATTTCTTTCTACAAGCAAATACCATTTTTCAGCTATGGTTAATTTAGAAATGCTAGATGTACAATGAAAATCACTAACCTGAGGCTTCGCCATTTTCTACAGTCGTCAATTTTTGAACTATGAATTACAAGTTAGACACTTATATATAAAGGTATCTTTATGGAAGCTCAGTTGTGTAACAGAAATTAAATTAAGTTAAAATTAATTATAGTTATCAAAAATTCAAATTTAAAAAATGAACCTGAATAAAAGAAATACTAAAACAAGAATCTGAAGTGATTTAAAAGTTTTTTTAAAAATCCTGCTAATCATGGGCGAAAAATAATTCGGGACCTGAAAATCAAAGAAGTAATGGTAGTTAATTGTTCAAATGCTGCGACTGGAAAATTTACAAAAATGCTGATTTTAAACACGATTATTTAAATCCTTGTATCGTGAGCATATTTGACAGTAACTTACCTCTGTCTGAAATTTTTAAAAGAGTTTTTAAAGCATGTTCTTGAATCGACTGGTTTATCTTTGATTTATCTTTTTGTAAGTAAGGATACAGGTTTTTATTTGATAATTAAGTGTAAAACATATCTTTTAAAAATCGTTACCTTACGGGAAAAAATATCCACAATATTCTACCTTATTATTTTTTAATAATTCTAACTTAGCTGTGAGGTTATATATCAATTTTCTTTGGAAAATAATTGTTGTTATAAGTATGTACCTATGTAGAACAATGCTGAAAAACTAAATTTAAATACGGACAATTTAAGATACAGTGTAAATGTACTTCAAGCAAAGCGACAAATCGTAAACGGAGAGATATTTCTCAAGTCAATTAATTTTCAAACTGCAGCAAAATTACGAAAATATTTATTTCAAATACAAATCAAATTTCAAAGTACTGTGGATATCTTTTTAATTACATGTAAATACATTTAGAGTGAATTAAATTGATGGTGTGGTTAAAAAAATATTTATTCAAAATGTAATACACTACAGAATGTTCTCTACTACGAGTATAATATATACTGAAAAGAAACGCACAAGAACATGATATGGGAAAATTTTCTGACTATGTGACCGAAAATTATGAAAATTGGTCAGATGTTTATTTTGGTTACTTTGCACTAAAATCACTAGTCAAAACTACTCAACCATGAAATGTATGGCGTCACGTAGGGGAAATGATAAAAAGTCAAAAACACGTGCATGTTAATGATGATAATTTTGTAATAAAATTTTGTAGTACCATACTATGCATTAGAATTATAGACATCGTTTTTGCATATTTGCAGTCAGTATAAATTTCTTGCAATTGTGGTATGGCTGACAGAATCTACTGTGGGTTTAGTAATTAAATTCAATATTGCATAAGTGAATAAAAAGGCAAAAACATGCTGATGTACAGATTGCTTTCAACTTTTTAACCAAATAAAAGTGTTTTTTGGTTGTCAGAGAGTGAACTTAAAATGTTTCCAACCAACCATGACGGTGACGTTGGCGCGTACGAACGTCACAACAAGATAAGGCTTTTCATCACGCCACCTCGGTTATTGTCAAGGCATTATCACCGAAACTGATATTTATACAGCAGACAAACATACTCACTTTTTTCACCCTAAACTGACAGAAACTCTCCGCTCTAATTTGGGCCGCGAGCATGGCCAGCTTACGTCGATTTTACTCTCAAACGCGCACGTTTACGTCGTTTGCGTAATTTTTTTAGCATGTTTACACTAGGAAAATGTAGCTAATATTTGTCGATACTTTTTTTTACAAACATTCACAAGTACCAAACCTGCTGGGTTCTGTATATTCTATCCTGAATCGAAAATTCGCGGGATTCGATTGAGCGGGGGGATTTGTTTACTTTGGAATAATACAGCTAATCTCAGCCATTGACTACCGTCGGAAGGGTTGACTAATAATGCTTTCAAAAAATAAATGCTCTGGTGAACTCAGTGCACAGGAAAATCAAGTTTGTTACTGATGCGAAAGGGAGATTATAAGAATTTTTAGTTTAATTTTTGGGGGGTGTCACCATATTGATATCAATATCTCAGGAACTATCAAACAAAATCGCAAACAATTTTGGTAACTTGTTGATTAAAGATGAATTAAAATGTATAATAAAAATGCTGAAAAACATATTTGAAATATTTGTTTTAATTTAACTCAAAATTTTAATATGCGTTTCTTAATCCTTTCAGTATAGTATAATATATAAAAAAATCTTCCTCCAGGCCAAAATAAAATTATTGTTTGTTTTGAATTGCCGTCCGCCTCTGTGAATACCCCCCCCCCCCCACCAACACTTTTTTGCTGGCAAAATATTGAAAATAATTTTTTTATCGATTTTGTCCAAAAATGTTTCTTACGAGTTCGTTCGTTCGTCAAAATACCTTTTTAAAATTAACATTAATTGAACAACACAGGTCAGTAAGATCTTCGACAAAATGAAAGGCGTCAACATGTCAGACCAGGCTATGATGTGAAAACATACTAGCTTTGAAGAGCCGAACATTTATGCGTCTCCATAAAAATGAATGGTGAAAAAAATATGATATGCAGTTTTTCATTTATTGACAGAGAATGCAAATTAAACTGGATATTTCCGTCATGATAAAACTAAAATGATCGTTCAGTCCAATAACGAGGGTTGATCCAAAAGTAATGTCACAACTTGAATAAAATTGCTATAAATCAACGTAAAGCAACAAAATTAAACATGATGGAAGCTATATTTATTTTAATTAAATAAGACCTGAAAAGGAATATGTTGTATTTTAAACAATGTACGTTTATCGCCGCACCTAAATATGTATAACGTCATTTGACGGTTACGCACCGTCATACTTTTAAGCGTTTTCCCTCCGTTTCATTAAAAACATATTTGTGATTCTCAAACATTTTCACCAATTCCACTCTCTTTAAGAATTGTTGGTACCATTATACACTCACTCTTTTCATAATAAAGCCCTCTGTCAAATTGTTTTAAACAGTAGCATAAGAACAACTTAAAAATTAGCATGTCACTCTGTACTTTTTTTTTTACAACGTCAGACACCATTGAACGTTTCAGTCTAATATATTTCTCGGTCTGTTTGACCTCTGCTGATCATTCATTGACCAATCACCCGCCCCAATTTTCTAAAACTATCTATTAATTTAAGATGTCTCTTATTTACATTCTTTATTCTGTAAGTCTGATTAATTAACGTAACTGTAGCTTGTGACGATTCCCAAATTTTGAAGCAAAAATGCATTACAAATCGTCATACCTTTTATTCCCATGTCGAAAATCCCTTTGTTCAATTCCACAAAGTAAAACAACAATGTTTATGATCACTAATATCAATGCCGTCATTTAATTTTCAATTAAAGATTTGAAAATGACGAAAATTGTGTCCTTTAAAAAACTGGGAGATTGGGTGTTTTTTAAGAATTTTTTTAATGCTTATCTTTTTCTTTCTAAGAAAAAAAAACACTTTAAAACGACGTTCCGTTGTGACGCGGCGACACCCTCTACGCTCTATGTTTCAAACTTCTATAAAATTAGTTAAGGTCAAGATCTAGTAAATAACTTTATACTTGGTGCTAGATCCATTATGACGTCGTAATCAACTTCAACTTTCTTTTTCCCGCACTTTACGGCTTTAGCAGATTTATGCAGAAAAAAGGTATTTTCATGACATTCAATTTGAAATCATTTAAAAAGTAAACCGGATACCTATATTAAATTTGATATTGATTTAAAGAAGAGGCCACTAACATACTATTTACTGTTTTCTGAGAGACTGTAGGCAATCTGGATACATTTCCTCTGTCGAATATGAAAAAAACTCCAATATTCATGACTGGTTTTCTTAATTTTTCATTGAAAAAGACAGTTTAAAATACAGTTTTTAATCTTGTTCACCTACAAATTATGCCCCGAAGCTCTAGTTATAAAGCATCAATACAGGAATTTATTTCACAAATTTGATAAATCTGTAGGCACCTTTCATTTACTAGATCTTGATGTTACAGAGGCGTAGTCACAAACTTAAAAGTGGGGGGGGCTCAACTCCAGAAATTCTTTGACAAGCAAAAAAAAAAAAAAAAAAAAATTGTTCCCGAAAAAAGTGGGGGGGGGGGGGGGGCTCAACTCCAGAAATTGTTTGACAAGCAAAAAAAAAAAAAAATTGTTCCCAAAACTTAAAAGTGGGGGGCTCAACTCCAGAAATTGTTTGACAAGCAAAAAAAAAAAAAAAAAAAAAAAAAAGAGAGAAATTGAAAGTTCCCCGAAGTCGAAAATCCTATTTCGTGGGGGGGGGGGGAGGGGGTAGCAGACAACTTTTTTTCAAAGGCAAGTTACTTTCAATTCCAATTTTCTCCCACAATTCTTAGATATAACTATACTTTCCTATAGTAAAGGTAATGTTGGAGAAAAATAGCTGTGATTTGTTCTTCATTAAAAAGTGGGGGGGGGGGGGGGGGCACAGACATACTCTTGCCCCCCCCAGATCTAAAAGTGGGGGGCTAGTGCCCCCGCTGCCCCCCCCCCCCGTGACTACGCCTATGTGTTAATTAGATTTTATAATTGTGAATCTTTTGGTATATTGTATTTGATAATTTGACACCAAATATAAAAGATATGGACACTGTGACATTACTTTTGGATCAACTCTCGTATGAATATTTTATGGATCAGAAATGTGTTATCCCGGCATTTATAATAGAGTGAATGTTGTCCGTCAGTCTTACAAATCTTTAAAACGTATTGTTGAAATTGATTCACTATGGCAAAAACGCTAGATCACTGCAAGCATTTTTCATAAAAAGCCGAACTTTCTAAAGAATTTTCGTGTGGTTCTTACTGTTTGTATGGATTGTCTCGACAAACATAACGGTGGTTAGAAATTCCAAGGTGAAGTCTTATGAAAAAGACAGATAAGATTTTCTTTTTCACAAAGATTTAAAAAACTCGAAGTTTACTCCTGAAAATTGACTTTAAATAAATGATCAGATTTGACGTCTAATTATGATACAGTGAAAACTGTCTAATCCGACACCTGAATAATCCGACACACTCTGGATTCCGACGTTAAATTTCTTTCCCATTTTAGTATTTTCCTAGTTTT